CCCCAAAACCCCAAAACCCCAAAACCCCGCTGTAGTAGTATCATACATACAATCATATTTGATTATTATAGTACGAATAAATAAAATTAAGTTTTGGAAATGGACCTTTTAAGGAAGTAACATACACCACAGCTCTAAAAAAGTTCAATCTATTCTTCAAAGCATGATACAAGGCCCTCTACTCTTCATAATTCTGCAAAAAAGAAGCCCAAGAAATCTAATCAAGTTACAATCCATCTTACTACTAATAACAATAAGCAAAGTAACTTAATGACTTGCTCTGAAGACTCTTAGATGACCTAAAGCCGTAATTAGATGACATATTAAAGTCCAGATTCTAGCTAGTCTACTAATCAGTCTAGAAATATATCCTCCTGCAATGGTGGTTAAAGTTGAAATTTCAGCAAGAAAATCAGTCTAAGTCAAAGTCTTAATAATACCTCATAACATAAAATGCATAGTAGGAAGCCTAGCACTAAACATTTAATTCTAAATATGGAGGAAGAAGATGACCTCCTTCAAGAAAATGAAAACGTTTGCCTTTTATAAGGCAGCGAGATTCAATGTTCAACTTCAAGGCTAGAGTAGAGACAAGATGCAATCATTAGAGAGCTGGAGTATGAGATCAAGGAACTTCGTGCTATTAATGAAGGAGTTAGAGACTAAGTGAGAACCAGAGATCACGAAATCGCAAGATTATAAATTGAAAAATAATAAATGCTAGAAGAAAAGTAATTGCTGAAAGACTAGATCACCCTCATATCTAATAAAGCCAAAGAATCAATGAATTTTGCTGCCAATATGGCTATGGTGAGTGAATCCTTGCAAGCAAAACTAGCTGAGAGAACCTAAAAAGAGCAATTGACCTTTCAAGAATTTGATAAGCTTATAAATCAATACTAGAAAGCAACAGAATACATAGTAGACGCCAGAATTCAAGTGGAAAGTTTAAACATTTAAGTAAAAAGCCTAGAAAATTAATTAACCGAGGAACAGGATAAGAATTTGATCTTAACAATAGAAATTAACAGACTAATAGCAGATAGGAATAATAATAAAAAGAAAGATGAGGAGATAGAGTCCTTCAAAAGGGAAGTTACAAGTCTAAATGTGGAGTTAAGTCTGGCCAAGCATTAGTGTAACAACCTTAAGAGCAAGACTCAGGACTAGGAGGATAGAATGAAGCAACAGTAAATGTACTACACCAATTTGCTTGAACATCATGAAATAACTAATCTTCAGTAATAGAACCAAGTTTAATAGCTTTAATAATAATAATAGCAGCATTAACAGTAGTAAGACACTCAAAGTAGTAGAAATCCTAACAATCTTTCAAGAAATATAATGCTATCCGGAAACTTAGTCACTGAATCCTTCGGTTCAACCACTTTCCATGATGAGATCTTTGTATGAATATGTTATGATGAACTGGCAATAAATAACTACTAATATCTATGAGTAATAAGTGAATATCTTTTAGGTACATATATGTTTATATAACTTTAAATTCTTAATAAAGCAAGTCTGAAAATTATTTAAACTTACACCCAGATAAAAGCTTTTTTTTAATTAGCGGGGTTTTGGGGTTTTGGGGTTTTGGGGTTTTGGGG